AACTGAGAAGTAGGATGAGCCACCAAGTGGAACTCTAAACCCTTAGATCTTAGTCACTTTCCTGTCCCTGGGACAAAATACCTGAGAACCACAACTTTAAGGAGGGGAGGTTTATTTGGCTCACAGTTTCCAGGGGTTCAGTCCATGGCCGTCTAGCTCCATGGCAGAAACAGCAGAGTGGAAAGGCCTGGTGGAGGGCATCTACTCATCCATGGCAGCCGGGAGGCAGAAAGAGAAGGGAGGAGCCCAGGACAAAAACACACCCTTCTACCTCACATCTCCCATGATGCCTTCAGCTAGGTCCCACTCTTAACAACTGTGAACTCATCTAATCCCAATCTATCCACCAATTAGTACAGCTCCCTATGATCAATCACCATCCAACAGCCCCATCTCTGAACACAAGACAATGTAGATGTGGGACCATAAAACCCCTTAAAGAAGAAAAGGAGGGAAACAGAAAGGTAAACATATAAGCATGTAATTTCTCTTCCTAGGTCAAAACAAAGTTCAGGATACAGCTCTGTCTCTAAATTTTCAGGCATTTTTACTTTAATTACACTACCAGCAGCTAAGCAGTTACATAAGAATCGCTATTTACAATTACACCACATCTTTCCGTCAGTTCTGAGCTCAGTGTTAACATATCACTGACTGCATGTTTTTAATAACATAATTTATATTCCTATTACGACATGACTTTGGTTGCAAACTTTAGTCTTGTTAAATTTTGCTCTATGATTCCTTCTTGTAAGAATGAATTTCCTATTTCTGACTTCTAAGTGTACTGTTTCTCTGTTTCTCAGTCTCAGAGAGTTGAGCAGTTTTTCTGAAGTACCATACACTCCTCCATGGCCCAAGTCCAGTTGCTGGTTTTCCCCTGAATCTCAGGGCCAAGCACGAGGCTGAGATTATGAGTGATGCTCTGTGTGGTACAGAATGCATGAATTCACCAAATACAGACACCTGCATCCTAGAGTCAAGCACTAGTACATGAAGAAAGTGAAACACTTTTCCTCAAGGACTTCCAGTGCTCAAGGGAAAGCAAGCGTGTAGATGAGGAAAATAATTACAGTAGAATGTGATTAGTTTTCTGACAGAAGCTGAGGACAAGTCCGCAGGAGTGCATGGGAAGCACACCTGTACTTTGTCTAGGAAAATGTGACCGAGGCTTGTGGAGGCCCCAAGTCAGCTGGTAAGGAAACTTGGCAGGAAAAGGCAAACAGAATGGCTTCTAAAACCTTCAGTATTATTTCCATCCTCTTTCTGTTGATCTTGTCCTGTAAATTCCCCTAGGAAGATAACTGATTTTCTCAGAATTCAGCTCATTCCATTTAGTCAGTACAAAACTTAGCCATCATAAAGAATTACTGAATGCATTCTATATGCCATCAACTCTATGCAAACTTGAAATTCAAGATCTAAAGGACAATAGCTAAAATAGAACATTTTACAATGTAACAAATATTAGCTGAACAGAAATACTTCATTATGGCTGGCTGGGTCCCTCTGAAGTTCCAGTGCTGCCAGAGTGACAGTGTGAAGAGGTGGGGCCTTTTGGAGGTAATTAAGCCATCAGGATTTCTCCCTCCTAAATAGGATTACGCTCTGATAAAAGAGGATTTATACAGCACTTGGCTACTTTGCTCCTCCACCCTCCGCCATGCAAGAACACGGCATTTTTCTGCACAGCCCACAGGGACCAGCTGTTGCTTTGGAAGTGGAGGGCAGCACTCCTCAGACCACAGAACCTTCCATCCCTGGACCTTGGACTTTCTGGCCTCCAGAACTGTAAGAAGACACCTTTCTGTTCTTTATAAACTACCCAATCTCAGGTGTTTTGCTACAGCAATACAAGCAGACCGAGAAGGCTGCCATCACAGCAGATACAGCCAGGGTGCTGAATCATCAGGAGTTAAACCATCTTGTGGCTCTGGGCCCTGGACACCCAAGGAAGGCACGGTGGAAGCAGGGCCGGGCTGAGAAGCCACAGGTCACCTGCTCTCCAGTAAGGACATCAACCTGTGCGACCTCACCACCCTGTCTACCCACAGCCAGGAGGGCCCTCTCTGATGCATCAGCCAGGCAGGACTGCACCGGGAGCCGGGAGCCGGCAATGGTCATGCAGGGGTCCCCAAATGTCGGCAGGTTTATTTGTCACTGGAAAGCTGAACCAAGGCTGAAGCAGGCAGCAACTTTCCAGTGAGGAAACTGAGTGCTCGCAGACTCTCCTCTCAGCAAATGTTAGGGCAAAACAGAGCAAAATCAGAAACTCTCAAGACTGCAAGATTATTCTCAAAAATAGGCTTTCTCAGCCATTATTTTGCAACCTGGGTTATTCAGTTTTGACAATGAAATATCAGAACTGCCCAAATAATATTATGTATTGTGAAATATATCAAGCTTTTATGCTTAGGCTTAAATTTGAAAATTTAAGCTATATGTTTGAACATTTTACCAAGGCAAATCTACCAATAATTCAAAATTAATTACTGCAAATTTAACATGACCTTTAGTTTTACTTGCTGAAAAAATATCTTTACATGTTTTCAATAGCGCCTTTTGAAATTATGAAATTATATATATTTATTTTCACATATGATAGTGGGACACAGCCATATATGCTAGCCTTAATTATAGGAAATATAGACAACTGCAAGGCTTAGCTTTATTGTTTTATAAATGAACTAGTAAAGTTCATTTTAGTGAAATGAGCACATGCTTTTCATAAATTAAAATAAATCTCACATGGTAAAGTACCCATTTTCAAAATTAATTTAATTACATGTTTAAAGTTTAATTATATTTAATTAAGCATTTAAGTTTAATATGAAATAAATGAATTATCAGTTAACTAGTAGGAAATGAAATACTGCCTTGATAATTAAAATCTATAAATTTTCCTATTCTGTACAAAACTGCTACTTCTCAAAACACACTCAGAAATTATGTATTGTAAAGACTACTGAACTCCATGTTCCCAGCTCCCCACGGCACAGTTCTGGTGTGGACTGGACGACCGTCCACAGACTCTTGGGTGGATGGAGGTGACCTAGGCAGAGGTTCTAGACCCTTGGGTTTGCTAACAGCTTCGTTACTTACGGATTACGACATGGACCTGGGAGCGTTACTGAGTGTTCTGACCCCAGGTTTCCAGCCAGATGAGCTAATGCTACTCCTCCGGAGGGTGTGGGAGAACTGAATATGCCATGGTGGGAGGCCTGAACAGTACCCTACTGGCAATAGGTGTTTGAATACAGTTAATTTCTTCCTTTGCTTAACTGTTGAATGCTGGAATAAAACCTTGTACTTTTTTGGCATAAAGTTTCAGCCCCAAAATACACTTCCTAAATCACAGAAGTAGCCCTCTATTTGCGTCAGTCCCCTTGCATCACCCCCAGCACGTGCTGCACCTTCTGCTCTCCTGTGGTGCCAGGGTCTGAACGCCGGCCTCACCCCCACCGGCAAGCCTCCACCACCTGTGTCCACGTTCCCCTCCAGAAGCAGGGTGAAAAGTTCTGCGCACAGCACTGAGTCACGTCTGGTATCTACCAGCTACGATCTAAGAAATGATGGAAAAGTTCTTTGGATGTATTTCCCATGCCTGAATGTAAGTTTGGCCCACTCTGCGGCAAAAGTTAGGCACTAGCATAGTCAGTGCAATTATTTAAAGTTAACAAAAATTATCGATGTGGGTAGTGTAGGCAGAATTTCCCCTTTCCCTCAGCCCCCAATTTTTCACATAAGGATATTTATTTCCACTGAATTTAAGAAATCTTCTCAAGATTAACAGTAGGATGAACTTAGTATCTGCACACAGATTTTTCATTCTTCCCACAGTGCTCCTTTCTCCACAACACAAAAGGTAAACGTGAAAGACACCCACAGCTTCTCAGGCTGTGAAGCTAAGAGACAGAACTAATCTGCCAGCCTAATCCTGGTTCTGTGACTTCATAGTTGAACCTCAGATAAATCACTGTGAATCAATGGTTCCGGAAACGAGGCAACCACACTTCCACAGGGTGGACACAGGGCTCTGTGGGTCGGCCAGTTCGGGTGTGGAGCTGATGGCAATCACGAACAGTGGGAGCGACTCTCACTCACTACCATAACACCTAGTGTCACCTACGCTCAGTGCCTGCACATACACAGGTCAGCCCCATACTGAAGTGAAGGAAATGTTTATTTCCGCACTAAATTCCCAGGTATCATTTCTGGAAAGGAAACCACGGGTGTTTAATTCTCAGTTCACATCTTCCTGTGCACTAAATCTTTATTTAATAATTCATTTCATATTGAAAGTAATAGTTCTGTAGTGCTAAAGTTAACCAAGGCTACAAGCCTATCCCTTTGTTTACTGTAATAAGAACTGAAATTAAATATTAACACTTTAGAAATTACTCATTATCAAGTCCCGCAATTTTCAGCATTCTATCTTACTGAACTTATTAGCAGCATAGGTGGATTGGGTTGTTTTAACGTTTAAACTCTTCCTTGTAAAATCCACACTCCAAATTCTCTCTTCACCTAACACTTTTATTTATAGCACAACTACATAGTCTTGGGAAAGTACCTATTTACTTACTTTCTGAAAGTGTACCTGCCCAAGACACTGAGCAAGGAGTAATACTCCGTATCATTTTTCCATGTTATTATCAATAAGTATTTATTAATAAGTATTTGTAGGTTGAAAGATGCTGACTTAGAACTTTTTAAAAAAATAAATAAAAAGAGATCATAAATTCAAGCAATAGCCAATCTACCAATACAGAACCAGAATGAGAAGAACAAGAAAGAGGAGGAGGAGGAGATGACAATACCTAAAGAATTATTATGAAACATATGTAGAATTACAATTACATACTACAGATATGAGATTTACTATTAGGATTTGTAAGCTTATATATGCATTCTTTCAAAACTTGTGTTAAAAAATGTATTCTGTTGACCAGAATTCACATTCAAACTGGAATCTGCTTTTATATGGGCCGTTAACTTACCAGGGTTCTATGCTGCCAGGCGAAGACAGTTTTTCTGGAAGAAAGAACCCATGCCATTTTGCAGTCTCAAGCAGCTCCTGTGGGATCTTTTGGGATGTGTCATAATAATGACCAAATCTTGAAGATGACACTGGTCCAACCTGCTAAAACAACCCATCCTGGTTATTTAAAAAATTATTTTTTAATTACAATTGCATCATCCAATATCCAGCAAAACAATAATGTACTTGATGTTGTTTAATATATAAATGTATCTTTATTGCCAAATTTAATAAGCATTCAGACTTTTTACTATACTGTGTATCTTACATTAAAGAATAACTTAAGAATAATTTAAAAATAATAATATGTAATTTTTATTCAATGTGTAAGATTTCAAGTTTTAATGAAAAATTAAATAGGCAATTGCTAGGAACCAAATGAAAACTAGTCAAAATTAATTTACTGGTGAGAAGGCCCCCCCAAAACCAGGTATTTAAATATACTGAACTAAGTATAATTTTAAAAATGAAATGCTCACAAGATAAAGCACATGTATGTCCAGTATTTCTTACAGGTTTTCAAACTAATCTTAGGGCAAAAGAGACATGATGTTACTCTGGCAAGAACAGGGCATGGGACGGAGAAGAGGACATTTTCCAGGTGTGCCAAGTCGGCACTTGGCACAACCGCTAGTTCGCTGACAATTTGTGCTGGGTATTCCCTATCAATAACTTCTCCAGCAAACTGTCTTCTTCCAAGAAACTAGTAACTACTGACAACATATTTATACAGGTTGTAAAATCTACTAATTATTGCATTGCTTTGAATGGGTTCTGGTCTGAGTTTTCATTCAGCACATCAGAAAAAAATACACACATATGTTTACACACACAACACACACAAACACACACATACCTATCTGAATGTTAACAAATTCCACCCGACAATAGCTTCTAGTACAAGCTCTGCTCTAACCTTATATAATTTCCATGTCAAATGCTACAAAACAGGCAAATTTAAGAACATTCAACAAAACTAAATAATCTCTTCAGAAACATAAGAACTATATAGGTGGGTTCTCATCTTACATCTTACTAAATGACAATTTTTTAATTTAGCTAAAAATGCAAATTTGCTTGATATCAGATATTTGCATTTAACATTTCAAAAGCTTATATTTGTAAATTAAACAACTATACCCATCCAATTATATAATAATATGGGATAAAACATTTCTAACAGAAGCATTTTTCTCAGATTCAGTCTGTGGGTTTGACACTTATTTTCCTAATAAAATAACTATTCATCTCTCCATGAAGTAATACTTATTTTCATTAATGCAAGACACCTAGAGATCTATCAGTTGGGTGCAATCTAATCTTTCCGATACAGTGTTACACACAGAATTACGGTTCCCAAAACATGATTTACCTATTTTGTATGAAAGTACTGACAGTATAAATTATATGCCATTAAAATATGTTTCTTATAAATAGGGTGTGAAGTTCTTAAATGTAGTTATTAGTCTAAAGCCAGGTCTTAGCATTAGTCCGAAACAAGGTCTGTTCTTTGGCCTATAATCTATTCTTTATCCGGATTATGGTTCAGAATGTTTTCACTGCAATCTCTGCCAGAACTCATCTTTTCATTGTGTAAGCCCAAGCCCCTCAACGTTTTAGAAAGGCCTTGACTAACTGAACTTTGATCTGATGTCTTCATTGAGAAAAACACCAGGTCGCCCATTTCAGATGCAAATCCCCCTGGGGCCCAATAGAATTTAGTAAAGACAGCAAAAAAAGAAGAAACCAGAAGTTTCCAGGATCCTCTTTGAGAACCCTGGGGCTCACTGGTGTCCCTAATCCAGGCAGCAGCATGGATTACGGTAGGTGATAACCTTTCCTGATTCAAAAGGATAAGCAGAGTGCCTACAAACTGGGTGGAGACTCGGCTTTGGCCATAATGAAACACCATGCAATAAAAGCCTGGTCTACGTCAGAACCCTCTGAAAGGGGCTCAGTGTAGCCCATTCCCAGGCCTGGCAGGGAAGCTTGCAAAAGCCTACCTGAATCAAACAAGCATGAATAATCTATTTTAGCAGACTGGCCATGGGGAGCAGGAAAGAAAGAGAGACTTTCCCCTTCTTTTAAGTTTGAGTTAATAAATTTACTAGTGGGCTGAAGGTTCTCGAAGCCCTGAGCACTCAGAGAAATATGCTAAATTGCCAAGAAGAGGAGTATGCTTTTTAAGTTGCCGTCTCTATTAATGTTTCTAATTACAATATTAACGTGATAGATGTCTCAGATTTGGGATGAATCAAGGCAGAAAATTCATTTCACGCTGTGACAGTTTACATATATGACACAAATAATTCATTAAAATGTAAAAATTAAATTGGGAGCTTTTCTCATTACAACTGTTATCAAATTATTTAGAAATTAAGTTTCAACATGATAGCTAAAAGTAGTCACAAGGTAGACATAAAACTTTTCTTTCTGAGTAAAGACTTTAATTTTTCAATTACAAAGAAAAACAAATATAGTCTTACAGAAAAAACAAGTTTGCAGATTTTCTTCTACCCAAGACACATAGAATTAACATATAACAGACATCAGAAATGTGGAACTCTTTTGAGGTCCAGAACTATAAAATAAACACTCAAATATTTCCTCTAAAAAAGACTGTTAAATGCTACAAATAATAATAATAATAATTAATAATAATAAATAAAATACTATGATCAACTTTCCAAAAATGTATGCATTGAAAATAGCAAACCATCAGCAATAACCAGATTACTCGGTCTGGTAAGAACAATATATGGGAACGCTATTCCACATCCATAAATTATCTTTTAACTTTGCCTCCTGTCAAGTAGTATAATGTAACCCTAAGTAAAAATTTACAGTGCTGAAAGAAAATGAACGCTGACAGAGGTACAGAAGGAAAATAGAGCAATAAAACGAGCCCCTGGGGGTTGGGCTGAAGTGGGACTTTCAGAAAAGAGCTGCACTCAAGTAAAGCACATAAAGAAGACATTTTTTTGCCACGTTCTCTCCTTGCCTGTCAGGATGGCACAGTGGTAAATAAATAAGCATCCAAAGAGCTGCTCCGCCACTGTTAAGTCTCAGCTCAGGCAGTGGGTAACGGCCTTCCATAAACGGGGAGGTGCTGTGCAAAGCTGTTACAACTGTGTGATGCGTCAGCAGAGGGCCTGAAGGTGCAGCCCTGCCTCTGTAATCAACTGTCTGTGCAACATGACATTGTTGGTCATTTACACATGCACACGCTGGTCACAAGACTGGGGGCTGAGCACTGAGACAAAAAGTCAAAGTGCAACAAGAATTTGATATAATGAAGACCCAAACTGCATGAAATCCAGAGCTGCAGTAGCCCCAGTGGCAGAGCTCCACAAAGCTGAAGAAAGTGAATTTCAGGATGCACGGTAGGCCGCCAATTTATGGCACGAGAAGGGAAGAGGGACTGTTGGTTAGACAGCAAGGAAGGGGCAGTCTACTTCGGACACAGTGAGGGAAGGAAGCTTTGTAAGAACACACGTACTCTGAACTAGATGAGTCATTGATTTATCTAACTATGCTGCTGATTTACGTGTGCACACTCTTACCCTTTTTACATCCCCCAAGTGGGAACAGGACTACGTTCTCAAACCTGATGACAATTTATATGAGAGGTCATTCCTACTACTCAACACATCTGGGCTGGGACTACTTAATTAATCTTTTTCTTTTTGGTACCAGGGATTGAACTCGGGTCCTTGTGCTTACGAGGCAGGCGCCAGAACCAATAAGCTAAATCCGCAGCCCTACTATTTGGTTAATCTTAAACTATAATCATGTTCACTGCATTTCATATCAAGTAAAATAATAAAAAAACCCAACTTTTTTCTTTTGTTTGGTTTAGTTACAAAGTGGAAGTAGCAGGGCTACTGGAGTTGCTCAATGGTTGAGCGTTTGACTAGCATGCACAAGGCCCTGAGTTTGATCCCCAGCACCACAAACTAAACCGGAAATTGCGAAAAGTTGTAAAGTCCATTAGGATGAGTGAGGACCAATGGCTACCAGTTTTGATAAATCATTGTTTATAAAATTAGTGTGAGGCTGAGGATGTAGCCGGTAGCTGAGCACCTGCTTAGCACACACAAACCCCTGGCTTGACCCTCAGCACTGCAAACAATAAAATAAAACCACCATAGAAGGCAAATACACATGCTGGAGACGTTTCAGAGAAAAGCAAAGAGCCAGAAGACGATTCTGGTCTCTGTAGAACTCACTTGTTGAAAAAATAAACTTTGACCATTAACTGTGAAGTCAAAATAAGCTGTTATTTTGTTTGTGGTATTTTTGTTTTTGTTTTTTGGTACCAGGGATCTATCTCAGGCCCTTGTCCTACCCTGCGGTATTTATTAATGCAACTGAACTCAGCCTAACCTTTACTTGCACATTGTACATCCATCCATTCATGCACCCAACAAGTGACCGCTGAGCACAGCAAACAGCCCAAATCTCCTTCTCCTCCGGAGCTCATATTCTAGTAGAAGAAAGATGACAAATGAGAAAATATATTATCTGCTAGCTTTAGTGATGACCAGTGGCCTGAAGAGAAATAAAGCAGGGCACGAGAGGACAGGAGAGCACAGGACATCGCTCCTGCTGCAAACCCCTGAAAAGATGGGACAATAAGTGGTTTGGAGATCACTGTAAAAAGAATGCAACTTTCACAACAGTCCAGCTTTAAACGTTGAAAAACGAACACTGAGGGTTATCTGCTCCTACCCAGCCTTGAAGTAGCTGACTCCATACATAAGTAATCAAGACACTGCAGGTGCACTGCATTCTCAAAGGCAGAATGGCATCAGCACTACTCACTGACAGTGCACCAGGATACAGTAATCCAAAACTGCAACTTAGAAAGAAACAAGGGAGTTTTAAGGAAACAAAGAATCTTTTTCCAAACTTCAGACAGATGTCACAGCAAGCAGTAAGAGGGAAGGCTTAAGGTTTTCCCTGAAGAAGGGTGACGACCACTTAAAGAGCCAGCTGGAGATGGGAGCAGAGAGAACAGATGCTGCAGAAACAAGTGCTGTCTAATCAAAGAATGGCACCGTCTACTAAGAGGTCAGACTGAAGCTGGAGTTCTTGTTCATTACTAGCATTTCACTCTCCACAGAAGAGTAAGCCAGGTAGCTTGAAAACTCTCCAGGTGACAGACACAATGTACCCTGCCGTTAGGGTTCTCAAGTGCTATTCCACATCTCCTGCCACTTTCATCTGTCATGCACCTCACGCTGCCCTCGCACACTGACTACCGCCCAGCTCTCAGTCTCATTCGAGCCAGCTATGCCTGCAACAACGCTGGACTTTTTCACAAACGTGCGCTATTCTACTGCTCAGACATGCCACGACTCACTGAACCAGAGCTGTGGACTGTGCACACTGGGGTTATTTCCCATCTAGTACTATTAAAAACATGCTACATGACTAGCTCACACATTTGCCACTTTATAGCTGAGTAATGCATTCATAATTTCAATCTCCAACAGGATCAAAGGATGCATGTCTGTGCACTTCTTTTTTTTTTTTTTGGTACCGGGGATTGAACTCGGGTCCTTGCGCTTGCAAGGCAGGCCACCAAACCGCTGAGCTAAATCCCTGGCCCTCTGTGCACTTCTGAAGGACATATTACCAAACTCGACCCCACAGCAGTGGGACCCGCTCACGCTTCCGCCAGCAGGCACTGGAGTGCCAGTCCCCTCCCCCAGCATTAGCACGCTGTTCTACCAGACACCTTTCATTTGCATTTCGCGTATTATAACTAAAATTGGGAATCTGTGTTATTTTTATGTTTAAAAGACACTTGAATTTTCTTTTCATATTTTTGCCCATTCTAAGAATTGCACTTTGGGCTTTTCCATGCTAATTTCTTAGTTCTTTGTACAAAAGAATGACTACTCCTTATTTTAGTATGTGAGTTGCAAATATTCTCTCTCCAGTCTGTAGTTGGTTTAGTCACACAAATCATATTATTCAAACAAGTCCCACATTTAAATTATGAAAATCTGCCATTGCTTAATATGCATGCTTTATAGTTAATGCTTAATCAATACTTGCCAACTGAATGAATAAATGCCTTTAACAGTCACTCAATATTTATTCATGATCTGGGTATTAGTATAGGTGCTAGAGAGACATGAGAAAATAAAACAAGTTCTCTGCCCTCACGAAGATCTCTGTCTGGTGGAGGAGAGAGCTGCACTAAGAATCAACTTGAAGTAACGTGAGAGCTTGAAAATTATCAAGTGCTATGGAAAATAAAAATGATTATGCAGATAATTCCCTATGGAAAAATGTCTGAGGTAGAAGCACTTGCACTCAGGGAAGGAAGACTTGGGGAGTGAGAAGTGAAAAGCACTTCCGGCAGAAATCCAAGCAGAGGGGATGGTCCACAATGGTCTGTGCACACAGGAAGCGCACGTCTCACTGCACCCCACCTCGCACGCCACGCAGGACAGGGCTGGACGCTGCCCCTGGGCCTGGCAGCAGCGTGGCTGGACCAACAGCCTGCCATCGTTCAGAAGGGGGAGTGCAAACACGAAAACAAAGGAGGCATCTGAGGTTAAAAGGCACTGCCAACCTTTTCTCGTCCTTGGGAAAGACCATGCAATGTCCATGTGGAAGACCAGAGAGGAGGAACAGGAGAACTATCTCTCACTTACTAGAATCTTCCTCTTTTCTAACAGCAAGATAAATTCTGGCAGACATTAAAGTGTCCTGAGAAGAGACTGAAGGGATCAACTGAAAGAGGGAGTTAGTTAAATGAACAGAGCTGTGCAGGAGACCAGCGTGAAACCTCACTGGCCAGATTATAAATATTACTGAATTGGCTAGTAAACGGGCTACTGATTAAACTGTGAATCTGTCCTGCGCCTATGCAACTTCAGCTGCCGTGTGGAAACAGAGCTCCATAAGGCAACGGTCACAGCTGAGATCTCAATGGTCAGTGATATTGTGGCGCCTCCGACGGCAGGACGCCGCCGCAGCGAGGATGTGACTCTCACACAGCCTTCACCCACATAAAACGCTATCCAAAGATAACACAGGTGGCTTCCTAACTAGGACCCGTCCTTCACAGGCATGCAGTTCCTCCCCTTTACGGGCCTGGCTGTCATCAGTCCTTAGTCCTGTTGCTTCCCACATCCGCCTTTATAGCCCCTGCTGTCCTGTGCATCCAATAAACAGTAGCTGGTCCAAGCCTCAGGGTCTGGATCATTGAGGAGCTTGGGCGATCTGGGCCCCCCAGTTAAGACTATCCTTCGTTCCTTATCGTCGCTGTACCCTCGGTCAGGTGGTCAGCAGCCCCGAAAGCTGGACAGAGTGGCACATGTCTACAATCCAGCTACTTGGAGGCTCGGGTGTGAGGATTACAAGCTTGATGTCAGCCTGGGGAATGCAGTAACATCATGTCTCAGACTCTGAAAAAAAATTAAAACGGGCTGGGAACGTAGCGCATGCCAGAGTGCTTGCCTAGTATGCGCAAGGCCCGGGCTCAGTCCCAAGGACAGTCCTGCCGAAGAGGAACGGCAACAGCAACTGGCAGACAGGGCCCTTGCAAGGAGCTTCTGTCAGTTCCTGACTGTACAGGACAGGCTTAACTGACACCTGCTGTGACGGCCAGACACCTCTCCTCACTTCCTGTCCCAGCTGATTCTTGACAGGTGAGATAACTGAGTTGGGTCATGGCTGAATATGCACGGGGATAAAAGCAGCAGTTCCACAGCCAACACATACACTGGATACTTGTAGGAGGCCACAATGGGTGAAGACGGCTTCATCAGCTCACTCACCGTTGCCAGCAAGTCTAGAATAAAGGGTTCTGTATGGAAATTGGGGAAGAGCGGAGTAGTCTATTTTGGTAAAATTTAAGGTTATTCTATTTGTAAGACATATGCCATCTCAAACACTCTAAATGAAATACCTAATTATTTAAATAAATAAATAAGTCCATCTGCACATTTTATACATAGTTTGTAGGGTGACTTGCCTCCATCTTGGGTAATAACTGGTACCGCCAAGCTATTTTCATCTTCACATCAGATTCTGGAGTTTTATGACATTCATCTTCATCAAATTCTTTCTTATAACTATCATCAAGTAACGGTGCAGGGAGTTCCTAAGAAAACAGCATAAAACATTACTGAGCATCTGCGGTAAATATGACAACTTTTTAAATTATAATATTGGCAAAACTACAACTTTCCAATGTATTAAAAATCGGTGTTAGTATTTAGTTAAGCATAAATTAACAACAATATAGACATTTCTACACCAGAAAAAGGGTACATCATATGAGAAATTTAATGCTTTAGTAATGAACTAGAATTTGAAAATATCTGAGCTTCTATTACCACAAAAATCAATTGCTACTCCAGTAAGAGGCTAAGCACATTTTTCAAAACTGTATTTTTCAGCAAGCTTGGAATTAGCACTTATATATTACATATAATTATTGTTATATTTGCCACAAGGTAAAAATAAAGCATGTGTGCAACCTATTTACTGGTTTATAATTCCAGAATTCAAAAAACTCATTCACCGAAATAATGGGTAAAGTAACAACTAAGAATAAAGACATTTATTTTATCCATATCAAATATTAGTTTTGTACCTGCAAACTTATATTTCCTTTTTACCAATGAAAATAGAATTTAAAATCTCTAATTAAGCCGGGTGTGGTGGCACACGCCTGTAATCCCAGCACTCAGGAGGCTGAGGCAGGATTGCTGTGAGTTGGAGACCAACCTGGGCTACATAGTGAGTTTCAGTTCAGTCTCAACACATAGTGAGACCCTGTCTCAAAAAACAAAACAAAACAAAAAAACAAAAAAAGAAAATCTCTAATTGAATGAAGAGATGCTGAATCCCAATTTATTAATTTTAGAAGATAACCGGCTAAGTGATGACCTACAAAAAGCAGGAAACATTTTGTTTTTGTAAAACAGGTCCTATAGAATTTTTTTTTAAACAAACAAATTTTTTGAAAAAGAAAAGCATATAAAATAATTTTTATTAGAATCACAAAGATAATGCAGGGCTTTAAGTAAACACAATCTTATAAACTGCAATTTTTATTTTCCAGGATCAATTTTATGTTTAGATTCACAGCATGAACTAATCAGCTTTACTTTCTCTTTCCATGGGCTGCTTCTTCAGTCACTTAGCAATGCCCTCTGGGGCTAGAGTTTTTAATTTGATGAAGCCCTATTTATTTGTTCTTTCTTTTGTCATTTATGCTTTTGATGTCATATATAAAAGCTGTTTGCTCAATTCATGGTCAGGAAGATGTATACCTATGTTTTCTTTATGAATTTTAGTTCTTATGTTTAGGTCTTTGATACATTCCAAATGAATTGCCATACATAATGTGAGGTAGAAGTTGTAATTTCTTGTAAGACTACAAGACACACACACACACACACACACACACACACACACACACAGGGGAGAGAGGGACTGAGATATATAAGGAATTGAGATATAAGAAATGTATTGAAATTATTACTTATTATGTATCTACTATGTGCTAAATTTTGATCCAGGCTTTGAGGTTGAAATAGTGAACAGTGAACAAACTAAGCAACAGTAACAGTAACAAATACATACACAGTGCTAACCCCAGTCCAGCTCCTTTCCTGTGTGCTCCAGACATGTTAATCTCTGCCCACAATAAGTTTATGAAGTAGGGGTTAAAACAATTCCTTGGCTATCTGCCCACGGCCACACGGCAGTGAACACGAGCCATGAACCTAAGCCTGGGGAGTCAGATCATGTGTGACTGACTTCTGCTTCCACAGAAGTTTCACTGTATTTGGGGTGGGGGTAACAACAGTAAGCAGTTACGTAACAGATCACATGGCAATAAATGCAAAAATTTGAGGAGGAAAAGAAAACACTCTCCTTTTATAAAAATCAAAGATGGTCTCTTTGATAAGGTCAAAATTGATGCAGATAATTCGGTATAAAATCATCCTACAATTAATTGAAAATCTATATAATACACTACTACAAATACTTTCCATATACATGTGATGCCGCCTACAATAAATAAATATGGGGGATATCTATGCTATTCTTTATATCATGATAGGTTCGACAGAGCACTAATGCTTAGAGATTCAGGTATGTGAAGGATCTGAGGACCTCTAATATAATCTCTATTTTTTTTACATTCCAGCACTTCTATCAGGTGTTTTTGTTTTTGCTCTCTTTTGTCATTGTTTTGTCTTCATTAAATTCAAATTTCCTACTATATTTATAATTTCTGTAAATTTGTGCATCTAATGTTTGATAACTTTTTCTGAAAGGAAAATATTTTAATAAAATATTATAAAAAATTTAAATTTAAACAATTTACATCTAGCTTGCATTTTTTTTTCACATGTAAATGGAAAAAAATTTTCTCCTGTAACTGCCCTTTCTGCATTTAATAAAAGATCCTGCATGCCATTAAAACATTTTATGATCTGAGATAGTTTTACTAATCTACTATGCTTATTATATATATTATAGTTCATATTTTAACTGATGGTATGTGGTAATTTCCACATATAATCATAAGCTTTTCAATGTCTGTGAAGTGTTGTACGTCAATTAAAAATCATTGTATTTCTCTTTGTTGAACCTTTATGTTGTTTGTAACCTAAAAATGCTACAACAAGCATAGTTGTTTATAACAAATGCCCTTTGTATCTCAAACCATTTTTAGAAGATACAGGAAACATACAAAAGATAACAGATATAAGTAACAGTCCAGTTTCTACAACTTGGCTTTAAAAAAATATTAACAACTGGCATACTTACAAAACAAACCAGTAGTCTGGGCAAGCAAGGAGCAACAATGTGTGTGTGTGTGGGGGGTGTGAAGACAGAACTGGCAGAAAATCTTTAAAAAGAACCATAAGACCCTAATGCTCTACTTTCCCCAAGATTCAAAATGCTACTGTACACCACTGTGCAAGAGAAAGAGAAAGGTAAAATCAGACAAACTTTGGACACAGAAGCACCGCTGAGGGCAGAGATTCGATATTACAGAGATCATGGTATTTTTTGGAAGGCCTCACACACCAGGCCCGAACAACTTCCTTCCTGCACTGGACTACAGAGTCACCTCCCCAGGCTATCAGAAGGTCAGAAGCCAACTGTAAACAGAACAGGCGGGAAATGGGGAGCCTGGAGGAACCTCACAGTGGAACTGAAAAGTTAAAAACCGCTAATGGGATCCCACTTGCTAAGCTTAGGATAGATAACCTCGAGGCCAACAGGCACGTGTTCACACACTGCACCTGCAATCAGGATTTAGTCCTTCACTGCAGAATTTGACAGCATCTGATACAGAGCTCGGGGACAAAGACAAGCAGGAACACTGATAATGCCAGAAGCAGGTACAAACGTCAGAAAGAATAAAATGTAAGAAGATGGCGTATGAACAGAAAAGAATAAGAGTTCAGTAAAAGGAGATGACTGAGAAAAAACAGAAATTACACATGTAATAGGAAATTTGAATTTGCCAAAAAAACAATGACAAACAAAAGAACAACAAAAGGCACCTGATCAGAAATGCTGGAAAGTTAAAAAAATAATAATAAATAAATGGTAAAGACCAGCAGCAAAATATAGCCTCTCTCCAGGACCTGGACTCCACCCACACACAGGAAAACAAGAACTTGGGAGGGAAAAAGAAGTGGATCTCTGGAAACTGGGAGGAGGGTAAAGGGAAAACCAGAAACTAGAAAGAAGCTGCAGAAATGGAGCACGAGTCAGAGAAAAGGACCCAGCAACGTGGAAAGTACACCCAGCTCCTGCAGAGGGGACCTGTCTCCTCAGATAAAGGGAAGCCTGAAAGGGCAGGCAGCTCCAGGGAGAAACAGACTTGACTGGCAGCACCAGCCCCAAGAAGTGCCCGAGGTCAGCCAGATGCAAAGGTGCCCACCGGTAATCTCAGCACTGTCAAAGCTGAGACAGGAGGATGCCCAGAGTTTGAGGCCAGCACGGGCTACACAGTGACTTCAAGACCAGTCTGAAATACACAGTGAGGCCCTGTCTCAAACAAACAAAACAGCATGAGGTTTTACTCTGAAAGCAACGCCTTCCACACTGCAGGCTGGAGCTAGAACAGAAATCCAGTGTGGTGCTCACCACATGGGAGCAATGTGGGGAATGGGTTTACAGGTTAAGGCCTAGATACAGAACAAGTACTAAACAATGTATGTCAGACTTTGGAGGTCACCCTATCAGAGGCCAGCTGGGAGACAGGCATGAGACAGTCACACAGAGAGTGTGGGCTAGACATAGACCCATGAAAAGTTTAAGCTCAAGCAGGGTGGGATGTGGGGGTCCCACCTACCACGATGAGAAGTCAGGCTGGTTAAGTGTGGCTCTGAAAGTGATGGCACTAAGTCCAACAGACTGCTTGGGCCCCTCCCCTTGATCCACTGCCTGCACCCAGCACAGAACTCATTGGTCTGTTTGCTTTCTCCATCTGCCAATGTGATTAAGCATATGCCTCTACTCGGACAGTTACCACAGCCTGAGGTGTACAGACAAAGAGGCCTCTGAAGGAGGGGGCAGCTCAAGCTCACAAACTATAGAGCTAGGAAGTGACCTGAGGTGCATGCAAAAACTAGGAGTAGCTGGATGGAGTAGAGCTCTCAGCCAGACACCATGACCAACCACAGCCAGCAGGAAAGATGGAGCACAATTCAGCTTTCACACACAAAAATGTGAGTGTGGAAACAAAATAGGTCTTAGCAGTGACTCACTATATAGTATTTCCCATATATCTGGTGGTTTCCAATTTTGCAGACCTTTGAAAGAAACCATTCATTCAAAAACAGTGGAATTCTTTAGGACTCATTTCTCTTTTTCCTCATTTTTGGGAGAGATTATTTTTTTTGTTGTTTTTTTCTTTATTTTGCTGTTTTTTCTTTCTTTTTTGTTGTTTTGTTACTTTTATGTAATTCTATTTTCTTTTTTTAATAGGATCTTTTATCTCACTGTTCTTTCCTCCTTCATGTCTTCCTTTTATTTTTTCTAGCTGTTGCTTTCTTTTCTTTTCTTTCTTTTTTTTTTTTGGTACCAGGGATTGAACTCTGGTCCCTGTTCTTGCGGCTGAAC